AATTTTTTTTCAATAATCTTTATCCTAAAATGATTAATTTAATTTCACATTGGAAATCTAGTCATTACACTCAAGTATTTAATATTTATAACCGTCAAAATGTTTATTCTGAAAAATTCAGAGTTTTTATTAAAGCTTTTACTAAGAAAACATCTTCGTTTTTATTAAAGAATACTTTTCAATTGTTGATGCCCTTTTTAGATATGCCCGGTATTTGGCTGTAGACCAACTAATCAGAATAGTAGCACTATACAAATAGTGTAATCGATCAATCTAATTGTACATATCTGGTCTCATAAATCTCACAGATATTCGCGTGCGCTAATTCAAATAAGTTTTTTGCTCTAATTTACGTAATTGATTGGTAAATGTAAACAAGATTATACACTTTTTGTGATCGTAATCAAATACAATATTTGATTCGCAACTTCATTAAGAATTTGGACAGACTGATATTTAATAGCATCGTATTTCTCATTTGCAACAAACTTTATTTTAAAATGAAATCAGATTAAAAAAAAAACGGTATACTTGCGTATACCAATTTTGGTGTATCGCATAAATAGTAGTAAAATAAATCAGGCGACGAACTCCAAGACCCCTATTTTGTAATTCTTAATGTGTCAATATCGTTGCCCAGCTCTTTTATTATTTAAAACCTTCGCAATGACAACTTATACACATACCGACAACGACAATGTTAATAGTTGCACAATAGGAATCAAAAGTATAGAAAATACAATTTACTAAAAGTGCACAATTATGTAAGTAATGAATAGTCTCTGATAACGTTATCCCATATAATTCTATCGATTGAGGCTTTTGGTAAAGCTGTGAGATAATTTACAATTATCTTTTTTTGTCACTCTTTCCAATGTGATACTTAATCTTATTATTTTTAACTATTTTGTTACCGAATTGTTTAATTTTATATTTGATGGAAAAAACGAAAAACTTTGAATGTAAAATGTTATTAAGAAGAGAAAGTAAGAGTTGAACTGTACACATTGATATTTAATCTATATTAATATAATATTGTCTTTTTTGATGCTTATCAAACCTACTGATCTATTGTGAATACTTTGGAGATAAATTCAATTTAATGCAATTATCGAAAAAACCATTATCACAAATGTAATTAACATCAAAAGTATTTGGAATTAATATTCAATTAATAACCGCCAGTTTGATAAAAATATAATTAAAAAGATTAATTATTATAATTTTTTCATCTCTCTGACTAATCTTTTAACTAACACGCTTGACTGTGAATAGATCAATATTGTTTTGTAGTCCCTTCATATTACATCATTGTTCTATTCAAGATTATTACAAGGAGAAGTGTATGAGGAAATAAGTTCGAGTTTAAATAAAAATTTCATACTACAAACTTCAAAATTTAAGCAGCTATAACTTTGTTAAAAATAAATGAAATTTAAAAAAAGAATTTCAAGTAATTTAAATTTCATCTTTTAAAATCTCTATTTTTTTCGAAAAGACACCATTTTGAATTTCTATAAATTTAATAATTTTTATATATAAAAAACTTTATATACTAAAAGCTAAAATAAGAAAAATAAGAAATTTTCATCTCACTTTGTAAGCTTGTGCCTAATTTCTATCGTGAAAGATTCAAGTTTTCACAACAAATCCTTTTTTTTAAACATTCCTAAGATTTTTTGTTACTGCGGATTAAATAAAAGAAATATTTGGACTGCTCATGACTCCGTTAAAAATCATCACTGCAATTTAAAAAAGACCTTTCCTAAAGCTTTACTTTATGGTACTCAAATGGTGCAATTGTCAAATTTTTTTTAAAAACATGTAGACATAAGATAGAGCGGAGCTATTTCGTCAGTTTCAACTTTAAAATAATACGAAATTTATGGTAATAAACAATATCTCTTTGCAGTGCTTATAATTACATTATACAATCATAATTGCTTCTTGAGGGCACAAGTATAACCTTTAAGTAATCAATTCTTCAAAAACATAAGCATCGTGAAAAATGGACGAAAAAGCTACGTCTACCCTAATAAAAATAAAGTATAGCGCTACAAATTTTTCAAACTCCGACAGATTTGTTTACACGTACTTTTGATGTTAATTAAACGAGTATCTATTACACTAAATCTGAATGTTCTTGGGAGCGACAAAATGAGAGAAACACTTAAGAATAGTTTAAAGTTTAACTAGCTATTTTTTACGGCACATCGAATCTTAAGCGATAGAATCTTTTCTCTATCTCCTTTGTATATCGAATATTTATGCTTCCAGCATATATATTTTTTTATACGACGTCATTTTTAAACCGCGAAGCGGTTAATATGATGGGTAATGCATTTATGTGCAGCGTGCAAATTAAAATTGATGATATAAAAAAACGCTGTCAGTGATGAGGACGTGATCGAGACGTGTAAAATCGAAGTAATTTGATCAAAATCATGCGTAGTTGCTTTCTAGAAATGATATCGCGCTCCAAAATATATCGACAGTGACATAATTATTATTAAATATGAGTAAGTATTTAATAATAAGCAATACTTAACAGTTCGAAAAGAATTACGAAAGTATTTAAGAAAATTTTAATAATCGCTATTTTAATAAAATTATAATA